TGGGAGTCCGTTTCCTCTTGCTGGGACTGGGCGCGGGCTCGGGGGCTGGGGGCGGCGGCGAGGGCGCACGGGCAATGGCGACCGCGCCCCCGTGCTTGCTGTGTATCCAGGACACCTTGGGCTTGGTGGCGGGGTCAGGCGGCGGCGGCTTCCTGCGCTCAGGAGACGGCGACAGCGACAGGCCCCCGGCTTCGCCTCGAGCCCGGGCCGGCCGGGCCACGCGCGCGTACAGGGCCCCTCCGGGCCCCTCCATGCTCGATGCAGACCGCTCGCTGTCCGAAGACGCGGGGAGGGGAGACGCCTCCTCTGGGGACGAGGGCGTGGTCAGAGGCGCTGCGGATGGCGCCAGAGCTTCGGCTGGGGCAGCAGGGGCCTCCAAGTCCCGGCTTTCGGCCGTAGCCTCTGCCAAGGCACAAGCGTGACATTCACAGCCTCACGGAGAGCTCCGGACTGCTCAGCCTCTGGGCACGGACCCCCGTCTTCCCTCCAAGCCGCCGCGCCTGGGGCTCTGTGGGCCTATAGTCCTGGTTGGCAGTTCACCACACCAACCACAAACCTCCTTCAGAAACCCTGGGTGTAGGGCCGGGCGAGGCCTCGAGGGGAGGGACACGGCCCCCCGCCACACCTCCAGCCTCAGGATCGGGAGCATCTTAATTCATTTCTCCAGTGATCCACCCCCAAGAAGATTCCTTTATCCTTTAAAGGGCGAGGGTTTAAAGTTAGTCACTTGCCCAGTGTCCCGCAGAAGAGGTAGTCTGGAGCAAAGCCAGAATTCCAGCCAAAAGGCTTCCTGTTGTCACTGCACCCCTCGATCCCCCTCCTATCTCCAGTGCTACCCCTCCACCCAGCCTCACAGGTTTGCTCTGTCACCCCACCAGCAGGGAAACGACTATCTGAACCAGGAGAACTGAGCCCAGTGAGGCAGCCTCTGCTCTGTCCACCCCCAACTAACACGGCCATGGCCCCTGCCTGTGCTGCCTGGCCCCTTGGGAACACAGAGCTTTTCCTTGGAACGTTTTTTTTTTTTTTTTTTTTTTTGCAGGCTTGTAACCTCTGGGCTGGGAAAGCCCTAGGCAGCGTAACTCACCCTCATGGGGTACACAGTACACAGGGCCTTCATCGGTGGTATCGAACGAGGAGAAGGAGGCCCTGGAAGACCACGAAGGGGAAGGCTGCTCCAGTCCGGAGGGCGGCTCCAGGAAGCTGCAGTTGAGGGTGTTGTCCAAGTCGTGGTGGGCCACTAGGGGCGGAGTGAAGAACAGTGCCAGGGGCGGAACCTGCCCAGCCTGCGCTCACCAACCCTCCTGCCACGGTGATGAAGTGACCAGCACTAGCCCTGTTCTCAGGCTGCCGGCAGCAGGCACAGCGACACTGGACCAAGACTGGGTAGTGGTGAACCCCGCAAAGGCGCAGCAACCATAACGTTGGGAGGAGAGTTGGGCTGAATGTTGCAAAAAGGGTCAGAAAGGTGACAGCTGGGGCTAAAGAGGACACCTGGCTGGGGGCCTGGCCCCAGGGCCTCTGAGCCCTGCCGCAGGCCCTGCCTTGCGGGACCCGGGGAGTCTCAGAACACTATGTATGGATAGGGTCCAAGCTGCCTTTATCGCTCCGCCCCTCGCCGGCCCATCTCGGCAGGCTGTACCCACACCACCTGGCCCCAAGATGGCAGAGCCCGCAATGGGGACCCCAGAGGCTGGCCAGCCTGCCCTCACTTCACAGATGGGTTGTGGGGTGCAGAGAGCCCCATTGCTGGGTTGACCAAAGGGTTTTGTGTATGTGTTGTTTACCTCCCACGAGTCCCCAACCCCAGCTTCTGACACAAGTGGAAAATGGGGGGGGAGGTCGAGGCCAGTGCAGTGCAGACAGGAACAGCACCCCTCCTCCCATCCCTTGTGGAAGGGCTCAGGACACCACTCCAGGTCCCAGCAGGAAGGCGCTTCCATGCATGCAAGCCCACGCACGTTCCCTTGGAAGCTATACCCTGGGAGATGCGCAGCGGATTTCTCAGACTTGGTGGGAGGAGAAAGGATAGGGCAGGTGTCCACACACCGCCACCATTCACAGAAACAGGGCCAAGGCCTCCCGCACACGCAGGGCCCCTGCTTTCCTCTCTCGGCTCACCGGCAACAGCATTTGCCCTCTTCTCTTCGTCTGGTCTCGCCTCCCCACGCCCACTCACTTCCCAGCAGTCCTCTGGGTCAGAAGGTGTTTCCCCAAAGACCCTGCGTTGACGTCCTTACCTACCACCTTGGGCAGCTTCTGCCTGCGGAGTGGAATCCGGGGCAGCTTCATGCTGATGCGGCTGAAGCGTCCGCACAGCCTTTGCGGCGCCTTCTTCCTCCCGAGAGAGAGCTCCCTGCGGGGGCGAGGCCTGGGTCAGAGGCGTGGTCAGGCCTGGAGAGGGCAGTAAGCAGAGGGGCGGGGCCTGGGCCCGGGGAGGGCGGGGCCTGGGCCCGGGGAGGGCGGGGCCGCGCCTGAAAGGCCGGGGATTGAACCAAAGAGAGCGCGGGGCGGGGCGGAACCTCACCTGCGCGCCGGGTCCTTGCCGCGGCACGCGCAGCAGCAGCCGAGTAGAGAGAGCAGCAGGCCAAGGAGCAGGGCCAGCAGCGCGCCCGCGCCCATCACGCCCTTGCGCTGGTTGGTCTCTGCGGGAGGGGCCGGGGTCAGCCCAGGCGCCGGGTCTCCCCTCCGCCCCTCCCCTCCAGGGCGCCCCTCACCCAGGCGGCAGGCACCGGTGACCGGGTCGCATGAGTCTTCGTGGCAGCTGCAGGCCTGGGCGCAGTCCACGCCGTGGAGCCCAGGTGGACACGTCAAGTTACAGCTGCGGGGACGCGGGTTCAGGGCGGGCCGTAGCGGCCCTCCGGTGGTGGCCCCCACCCTGCCCCGCGTCCGGGCGACCCCGAAGCGGAGCCGCGTTCTGCAGTTCCAGTCTCCAGAAACTGAGACCCCACTTCACCTCCCGGCACACAGGGAGGGGTCACTTTTGAAAAGAATGGCCGTGTGCACAACCACAAGGAGACGCCTGGGGTGTGCGCCGTGGTCCCCGGAGCAACGCGCATTTCTACGGCTGGCTCCTCTGGCGATGGGAAGGGGGGCTGCCAGACCAGACCTCCGGCTGTAAGCAGAGCACCCTGCTCTCTGCACCCCATCTGGGGGTCACCTGTCCCCGCAGGTCCTCAGGAACCCACTGACCACAGGCTCCAGCCAGGGCAGCGAGGCGGTCCTGGGCCCTACCTCTCTCGCCAGCACAGCAGCCCCTGGGTCTGGCTGAAGCCTCCTGTGTTGGGCGTGCCCCCACCCCCTAACCCCTTCCGGGCTCCGGGACACTCACTGGGGGCCGTGGACGCCGGGGCTACACAGGCAGCGCCCGGATTGAAAGTCACAGTGGCCGCTGCCGCAGTCTGCGCACACGAAGGCGCAGTCCTCGCCGTAGGTGCCATTACTGCACTTGGTCTCACACCTAGGAAGGCGAGGAGGGGCCGTCAGCGGCGACGGGGCCAAAAGGCCCCCACGTCCCCAGCGTCCTCCGCAGAGGACCTTTGGCGGAAGCCAGGGCTGGGGCTCTGCGTTTCCGGCCCGCGACGCACGCGCGCTGCTCACCGGTCGCCAATCCAGCCCGCGTTGCAGCGCGTGCACTTGCCGGTGACGTGGTTACAGGCATGGCCGTCGCGGCACGGCGGGCAGCGGTGACCGCAGCCCTCGCCGTAGAAGCCGCTGGCGCACGGCTGGTCGCACTTGGTGCCGTTCCAGCCCGGCTCGCACGTCAAGCAGCGGCCCTCGGCCACCGTGCATGGCTGCTGACCCTTGCACTGGCCGCACCTGGGGAGGGCGAGAGGCGGTGGGCTCGCCGGGGCCCGGCGGGCCGCCCTTCCCCTTCCCGCTCCCGCGCCTGGGGCCCGCGCTCACCGGCGGCGGCAGCCCAGGCCGTAGAAGCCGGCGGGGCACGGTTCGCGGCAGTACTTGCCGCGGTAGCCCGGCTCGCAGGCGCACGTGCCGTCCACCGGGTGGCAGCGGCCGCGGAAGCACTGGCAGAAGCGCTCGCAGCGCGCGCCGAAGGTCCGCTCGCGGCACTGGCAGCGGCCGCTCTGCTGCTCGCAGGGCGACGCGTTGCAGGCGCACTGGTTGTTGCAGCTGCGGCCCCACCAGCCCGCGTGGCACAGGCACGCGCCCGTCTGCGGGTCGCAGCGCGACGTGGCGCTGCAGTAGCAGGCGCTGGCGCACTGCGCGCCCCACCAGCCCGGCTCGCAGCGGCACGCGCCGCTCCGCGGGTGGCACGCGCCGTGCTGGCACTGGCACGCGTGCTCGCAGCGCGCGCCCCAGCGTCGCGCGTGGCACGTACACTGGCCCGTCACGTCTTCGCACTGCCCGTGCGGGTGGCAGCTGCAAAGCTCCTTGCAGTCGGGACCCCAGAACTGCCGCGGGCACTCTGCGGGGGCGAGCAGAGGGGACCCGAGCGGAGGCAGCTCTAGCCAAAGCCACGCCAGGCCCGAGTTCCGCCTTCCGGGCCTAAGGGGCCTCCGGCCAAGTCCCGTCCCCAGATCAGACCCCGCCGGCTCCCTCCAGGATCCCGCCCTCCTGTCCAGCGCCCACCCCGCCGCACCCCGCGCTCACTGGTGTCGCAGTTGGCTCCGAAGTAGCCGTGGCGGCAGCGGCACTCGCCGGGCCGAACGCACACCTCGTTGTCCGAGCACGTGGAGTTGCCCTCGCACACCGCTGAGAAAGAACCGGGCCTGAGCTGCGCGCGCCCGGCCGCCACCCCCCCTCTCTCCGTCTTCTCCCTCCCCGCGCCCTTGCCCAGGCACCCCGGGAGGCCCCACTCACCTATCCCGCACTCGTCCCCCTGCTGCCTCCAGCCCGCACAGCACGCGGGCACCAGGGAGCTGTAGGCAGAGGGAGGGCGCTTGAGCCTGTGCGCCGTGCCTCCTCCGGGCCCCACCCGTCTGAGACTCTCCTGGCTGGGCCACGTTGGGAAGAGGTGACCAGAGCCCAGGCACTGATATAGGTAGGAGACTCCGCAGTGAATGAGAACAAGTTCCCACCCTTTGTTGTTGTTGTTCTCATGTGCCGTCAAGTCAGACCCGACTCAAAGCGACCCCTCCTTGGGTTTCCGAGGCAGTATCACTACGGAAGTAGGATTGCCCAACCTTCCTACCGAGGAGTGGCTGGTGGGTTTGAACCGCCAGCCTTCTGGTGAGCAGTCAAGTGTCTTAGCCACTATGCTACCAGAGCTCCCCTCCCACCCTTAGGGCTCACTACAAACAACCCTGACCCCAAGGGTTTCCCTAACCTCACCCACAGGACTCCCTGGTCCAGCCCCTAAACCTGAGAGAGCAGATCCAAGTGGCCCTGGAGGAGGGGCAGCATGCAGGCTGGCCAGTGTGCCAGGTGGGGCCCGGGAGAGGTCCACAGTCCCCCCTAGGATAGGGACTAGAGCACCCCAGGGGATGGGGCCTGGCCAGATGGCTGTCAGGTATTGGGGTGTGTCAGGAGTGGCTGGGCTAGAGGGACAGAAGGGCACCCTGACGCCCAGTTGGAGCTAAGTGGCAGCGTGGGGAGTCTGAGGTGGGGGCAGACACTATGTGAGGGGCCAACACCTCACCGGGCCCTGGAGGGAGGGTGAGGCCCAATGTTAGGAGAAGGCTGGCACCCGTGGGCCACGGAGTGAGACTTGGGCTGGAGGGAGGAAACACTCTAGCATCTATTTATACACATGTGTATCTTGTAGCATAGTGCCTAAGGCACTTGACTGCTAAGCAGAAGGCTGGCGGTTCAAACCCAGCAGCCACTCCTCGGAAGGAAGGTTGGGCAATCCTACTTCCGCAGTGATACTGCCTTGGAAACCCAAGGAGGGGTTGCTATGAGTCGGGGCCAACTCGACGGCAAATAACAACAACAACAACAATCTTATGTCACTACGTTGGGCTTTACAAAGTCTGTGATGTTGCCTCAGTATCCAAACTCACTGCAATCGAGGCGATTCTGACTCATAGAGACCCCCATTGGGTTTACGAGGTGGTAAATCTTTATGGAAGTAGATTGCTGACTCTCCCTTCCACAGAGTGGCTGGTGGGTTTGAACTGCCAACCTTCTGATTAGCAGTCAGATCCATTAGGCACTGCACCACCAGAGCTGCTTGTTGCCTCAGGAGAAGGTATCTAATTGATCACTGTCACACTATGTGGGGCAGGCTCCAAATCCATAGACCACTGGTACAAAGGTTTGCCCAAGGGACGCCATCCCTGCTGGACAAGGACTGGGCTAGGCGGCACCCATATTTTGGGGAAGAGAAGGCTGATAAAGAATAGCCCCTGAGGGTGCAGGTTGGTTTATAGGGCTTCGTCAGCTCCAAAGGAACTACATTCAGATTCTAAAGATTCATACATAGCAATCATTCACACTTTAGAGAGAAAGAGCGTCCTGCAGAAGGATCTGAATCTAGAACCAAGATGTGGTGCTGGGGGAAAAGACACTCAGGACCTGAGGAGCCCGGTGGGCTGAGGGTCTCCCTCCAACTGCACAGGATGACCCCCCAACCATACCCCAGCTCCGGACCATGGCTGAACTCTGAATGGGGCACCAGTCCCCGCAAGAGAGGCCCCCTCTCCCACTAAAGGGCCGATTCTTCCTTCCTCAGGCCACAGTTGGGGCCCAGGGAACAGGGCAAGGCAGTGAGAGGGCCCGGCAGATTTTTCACAAAGAAAACTAGAAACTCCCATTGCTTCCATCCACCCGGTCCTGGCCCCGGGCCTCCAGGTGTCCAGCAGCAGGGCGGCTCTGCCCGAGCAGGTCAGCCCGTTCCCCTGCAGTCCCACCCGGTCTGCGCTGTGGCGGCCATGCCCTGCAGGCAGCCTTCCCAGATGCCCTGGAGAAGTGGCTGGAGGGCCCCGTTCACTGCGTGTGCTTCCCGGGTCTGTCTATGCTGTCTGGCCCCAGCCCCAGGCTCCTGACTGCAGAAACTGGGCCTGTGGGTTTGGTGGGAGGGTTAATGAAGAGAGTGACGGCGTGGGCCGTGGTGATACCATGACATTTAGGTAAGCCGTGGTCTGTGGGCCCATGAACCGGAAAGTTCAGGCAGCATTCTGTGTCCTCTTTGTCATGCCATGTGACATGCCTCGCCCCAGCAGCCTCCCCACCACCACAGGACAGCGCCAATGTGGGTTTACTGGGAATAGCAGCTTTTTCTTCTTGGAAAAGACCCCTGGTGGGAAATCTCTCAGGGATGAGGTGGAAGAGGGGGGCATGACCAAGCGAGCAGTTCTGGGAGATCCTGGGGACCTGGAGCCCCCACTGTTGGTCACTGTTACCCACAAACCAATGTGCCACGATTTCTCCGTCTGAAACCTCTGTGCCCTTGCGCAGGCCACGCCTAGATCACGCCTGCGCCTGGGCCACAGCCGCACCTGCAGGACCCCCAGGTGCACCCTCATCTCAGTCACCTGTGCGCAGCACACATTGCCAGCACCTGGCTCCTGCCTGGGTTTCCTTCTGCCAGAAGAGCCCAGCCCACAGACCACGCTCTCCCCATCACACCCCACCCTCCGATCTCACCTGATCCACCGCAACGCTGCCGCTGCCTGGGGCCTCCTGCTGGGCCACAGGGAGGCCTCTGGGGGTCTCTACACATGATCACAGCCTTTCCAGACTGAAGGCCAACCCCAGGCAGCCTCCCTAACTCCTCTTTCTCACACACAGACCACACCAGACCCAGCAGTAATGGAATCCACCCCGCATGCCGGTGGGAGTCACCATAGCACTCGGCTGTCTCTACACAACTTCCTACCACGTCCACCCTTTGCCCACCAACCAGGCCACCCGACCCCTGCGCCCACTCCTGACCTCCTGTCCTCGGCTCTTTGCCTGTCGCGCCGGCCCCTGCCTGTCCCAAACCGGCTCCCCCAGGCCTTTCACCTGCTCCCGTGGCCCCCAGAGAAAAACCCCAAACAGCCCCTGTAGCCAAGCCACCTCCCTCTCCTCTCCAGTCCCTCCTCCAGAACTCCCTGAGCCAGTCTGTGGGGCTCCCATGGCTTCTCACAGCTCAGGGATCCTTGCCCCACGCTCACAGGCCTCCTCTCTGCAGGATTCCACGGGGGGTGTCCCTAGAACGCCCCACAGGAAACGGCACCCCCAACTCAGTAATCCTCCCCAACATGGACCTGTCCCTCCTGAGATGGGGAGGTACGTCTGCGGCTGTAGTTGCCCGGGAACAGGCCTGCGCACAGCGGGTGCGATGCACAGGCTGTTTGGGGAGTGCTGGCTCTGGTCCTCCCGCCTCCCAGCTCCCCAGGGAGACCGGCCAGGCTCCGCCTGCGCCCACCCTGGGAGAATAAGGAAAGAGAAGGCAGGCAGGGTCCCAAAGGGCCTGGCTCTCCTAAACCCATTCCCCACATGATCAAAGCCGTCACCCAGCCCGTCATGTGGGTACCACCACCACCAGCCCCATTTCACAGCGGCCAAAACGTGCCCGACGAGGTCAAGGGCCTCGCGCCCGTCCAGGGCTCTGCGGGGGAACCCGAACCGGGGCTCTCTGGCCCAGGCTGCCGCTTGCAGAGCTTCCCAGCAAAGGAAGTGGAAACCGAGGGTCCCCCAGCCAGGCCCGCGACGCTGGGGGTGCAGAGGGTCAGGCCAAGGCTGGTCCGCTGGTCACCAGGGAGGTCGGCCCGGTCGCGGCAGCCCGGTAGCCAGGGCCTGGCGATCGCGCCCTCCCCCTCTCCAGGCGCGTTCCGCCCGCAGCCGCCACTGCATTCCTGGGCCCGGGAGGCCGCGGAGGCGGCGCAGGCTCGATGCGAAGCAGATGGCTGGCCCGGCCGGCCCCCGCCCCGGGGGCGGGGCCCACGGCGGGGAGGGGTCTGCGCGCCTCGGGATCCAAGCTCGGAAACCCCTAGCGGCCCCCTCGCGGCCCCTCGTCTGTGGCGACTGCGAAGCCTTGGACGCGGCCTCCGCGGGCCCCACCGCCCAGGGCGCACCGACGGGACCCCACCCGGAGACCTGTGGTCGTCCGTCTGGCTTCCCGCCCGCGCGACGCCCCCAACACGCGCCAAGGCGCCCCACACAGCAGCTCCTCGCCTGGGCGCGAGATGCCCTTGACCTCGTCACGGCCTTTGCC